TTGCTTTTTTATCTCTTCCAGTATCGTATGGTGCGGTTGGTAAAAAGCAATCACAAGAACTCTAAAGTTATTTGCCTATGATTACATGTAAACCCTAATGGTTGTTCAGTATTTCGTAATGAAATCTGTAAAAAGTTCATTTTTGAAGAAAGGTGCCTTGGTTAGTCAAATTGGTTCAAACCATGGAGGTGACCATTTTGGTTCAAAAACATCTCATTCATCCTACAGTCATGTATAAACACAAAACCCAAAGAAATTGCTTTCTTATCTCTCTTCCAGTATCGTATGGTGCGGTTGGTAAAAAGCAATCACAAGAACTCTAAAGTTATTTGACTATGATTACATGTAAACCATTAGGTTGTTCAGTATTTCGCAATGAAATCTGCAAAAAGTTCATTTTTGAAGAAAGATGTCTTCGTTAGTCAAATTGGTTCAAACCATGGAGGTGGCCATTTTGGTTCAAAAACATCTAATTCATCCTACAATCATGTATAAACACCAAATCCAAAGAAATTGCTTTCTTATCTCTCTTCCAGTATTGTATTGTGCGGTTGGTAAAAAGCAATCACAAGAACTCTAAAGTTATTTGCCTATGATTACATGTAAACCATTAGGTTGTTCAGTATTTCGTAATGAAATCTGTAAAAAGTTCATTTTTGAAGAAATATGCCTTGGTTAGTCAAATTGGTTCAAACCATGAGGTGGCCATTTTGGTTCAAAAACATCTAATTCATCCTCCAATCATGTATAAACACCCAATCCAAAGAAATCATTATCAAATTGGTTTTTTTTATCTCTTCCAGTATCGTATGGTGCGGTTGGTAAAAAGCAATCACAAGAACTCTAAAGTTATTTGCTTATGATTACATGTAAACCATTAGGTTGTTCAGTATTTCGTAATGAAATCTGTAAAAAGTTCATTTTTGAAGAAATATGCCTTGGTTAGTCAAATTGGTTCAAACCATGGAGGTGGCCATTTTGGTTCAAAAACATCTAATTCATCCTACAATCATGTATAAACACCAAATCCAAAGAAATTGCTTTCTTATCTCTCTTCCAGTATCGTATGGTGCGGTTGGTAAAAAGGAATCACAAGAACTCTAAAGTTATTTGCCTATGATTACATGTAAACCATTAGGTTGTTCAGTATTTCGTAATGAAATCTGTAAAAAGTTCATTTTTGAAGAAAGGTGCCTTCGTTAGTCAAATTGGTTCAAACCATGGAGGTGGCCATTTTGGTTCAAAAACATCTAATTCATCCTACAATCATGTATAAACACCAAATCCAAAGAAATTGCTTTCTTATCTCTCTTCCAGTATCGTATGGTGCGGTTGGTAAAAAGGAATCACAAGAACTCTAAAGTTATTTGCCTATGATTACATGTAAACCATTAGGTTGTTCAGTATTTCGTAATGAAATCTGTAAAAAGTTCATTTTTGAAGAAATATGCCTCGGTTAGTCAAATTGGTTCAAACCATGAGGTGGCCATTTTGGTTCAAAAACATCTAATTCATCCTCCAATCATGTATAAACACCCAATCCAAAGAAATCATTATCAAATTGCTTTTTTTTATCTCTTCCAGTATCGTATGGTGCGGTTGGTAAAAAGCAATCACAAGAACTCTAAAGTTATTTGCCTATGATTACATGTAAACCATTAGGTTGTTCAGTATTTCGTAATGAAATCTGTAAAAAGTTCATTTTTGAAGAAAGGTGCCTTCGTTAGTCAAATTGGTTCAAACCATGGAGGTGGCCATTTTGGTTCAAAAACATCTAATTCATCCTACAATCATGTATAAACACCAAATCCAAAGAAATTGCTTTCTTATCTCTGTTCCAGTATCGTATGGTGCGGTTGGTAAAAAGCAATCACAAGAACTCTAAAGTTATTTGCCTATGATTACATGTAAACCATTAGGTTGTTCAGTATTTCGTAACGAAATCTGCAAAAAGTTCATTTTTTAAGAAAGATGCTTTGCTTAGTCAAATTGGTTCAAACCATGGATGTGGCCATTTTGGTTCAAAAACATCTAATTCATCCTACAATCATGTGTAAATACCAAATCCAAAAAACTCATTATCAAATTGCTTTCTTATCTCTCTTCCAGTATCGTATGGTGCCTGGTTGGTAAAAGCAATCACAATAACTCTAAAGTTATTTGCTTATGATTACATGTAAACCATTAAGGTTGTTCAGTATTTCGTAACGAAATCTGCAAAAAGTTCATTTTTTAAGAAAGATGCCTTGGTTAGTCAAATTGGTTCAAACCATGGAGGTGGCCATTTTGGTTCAAAAACATCTAATTCATCCTACAATCATGTGTAATACCAAATCCAAAGAACTCATTATCAAATTGCTTTCTTATCTCTCTTCTAGTACCTTATGGTGCATGGTTGGTAAAAAGCAATCACAAGAACTCTAAAGTTATTTGCTTATGATTACATGTAAACCATTAGGTTGTTCAGTATTTCGTAAGAAATCTGTAAAAGTTCATTTTTGAAGAAATATGCCCTGGTTAGTCAAATTGGTTCAAACCATGGAGGTGGCCATTTTGGTTCAAAAACATCTAATTCATCCTACAATCATGTATAAACACCAAACCCAAAGAAATCATTATGAAATTGCTTTTTTATCTCTCTTCCAGTATCGTATGGTGCCTTGTTGGTAAAAAGCAATCACAAGAACTCTAAAGTTATTTGCTTATGATTACATGTAAACCATAAGGTTGTTCAGTATTTCGTAACGAAATCTGCAAAAAGTTCATTTTTGAAGAAATATGCCCTGGTTAGTCAAATTGGTTCAAACCATGGAGGTGGCCATTTTGGTTCAAAAACATCTAATTCATCCTACAATCATGTATAAACACCAAACCCAAAGAAATCAGAATAAAACTGCTTCGTACCTCTCGTCCACTACGCGTACGATACCTAATTGGTAAAATCAATCATAAACAATTCTCTTTTTAGACAGCGCTTTGGTTCTTTTCCCGATGAGCTTGGTATAGAAATAACGTTTTTGACATCTTTTGATCAAAATACAAGTGGTCATCGAAAGTGTATCAAATTCCCTTATTTGGGTACCGTGGTAGGTGTGTTTCTAGCTTAGGTATAGTTACGATACCCTTAGAATCCATTATGACCCTCTTATTTTAATTATTAATTTATTAATTTAATGTGCTTACTACTAATATAATACTAAACGTTATTTTACATTTCTCCTCAATCCACCAGTTTAATCTCTTTAATACAAATCCGCCCTTATGACGTAACGTGGATTAGGAATAATACATGCGAGGTAGGAGATAACAAATAATTTACGTTAAAGCGCACATAGTACAGCTACCTCTTTCATTATTTGCTATCGCACTTTAAAGCGAGAGTACCGCTTTACAATGTTGCCGTTTATTTGGATCTCACTTTATTTAAAATATAACGCATTATATATAACGTAAGCAGCGCCCCCTAAGATGATCATTCAAGAACTTCGCGTGTATAAATTTTGACAAAAACCTAAAAGTTGAGATCCGGGCGAAAATTGAAATTTATAGCTTCCTGTATGATCGACCGATCTAATAGACTCGATATACACAGTAAAAAAAGGCGAGATCCGAAAACGGATCTCGGGTTTACCAAATGGATCTCACCTTAGCGCTTTTTAAATCTATATAGGTATAGATATGTACCTAATAATCAGTTTGATCGCGTGTAAAGTTCCAATGCGTGAAAATAAACAGGTACCTATACCTACCTATAAGTATAGGTACCTATTTATAATTTTTTTTTATAAAAGTATCTATATCAAAATATTAAATAAATTTTATATCTACCTATACCTAGTACCTAAACCTATACAGCCCGCGATTCAAATTCGAGGGCCATCATGGGGATCTCGGAAACTGTATGAGATAGATAGGTAGTTTAACTATGGTTAAATTTTAAAGTACTTATATCTATCTCTTACATCCGTTTCCGAGATCACTATGGTGGCCCCCTACTTTGAATCAGCCTGCATGTACCTGCAATACCTACCTATAGGTAGGTATAATATTACAATAGGTATGTTTTGTAAAAATTTACAGATTAGAATTATGAATGATTTACATCACATACTATGTACTATAGATAGGTACATATACCTACATATGGTTTTTTTAATTTTATTTGATATCGCTTTAATCATTTTGTTGTACTGGTAGGTAGGTAGAATTGACAATCACTACCTACCCCTCATAATTTCTCTTTTATTTACCTACATTTTCATAAAAGTATATAAGTATGTAAATCAGCTCAAAAGTAATAGGTTTCTTAGTTTATTTGACTACGCCCGGTATACTTATACGACGTTAAATGTTTAATGGGAAGTATTTAATAATTGATCAAACAAACTTCTCCGATGCAGGCATTTATAAAAATGCACCTACCTAATTAAAACTTTTCTAATTACAAGTTAAAATGTTTACCTAATTTGAAAGAGCAACCACAAAATTTCTAAATTAAAGCGTTTAGAGGACGCTTGGTGTTTTAATTGTATGTAAGTGAAAGAGTCGAAAAGCCGAATTAAATTTTCACGTTTATATTTCCGATTATAGTAATTTGTAATTAGTATAGTATTTAATGAAATCCACCATCCAGAAGTTGCGAATATCTAAATTCAAATCGTTTTATCAACCCTGTCTAAATAACCGCATTTACACAAAATTCACTCGACAATCATGGTCTGCTAATTTCCCAACTCGCTCCTTTTGTTATTACGGCAAATCAAATCATATTCATAATTACAAAGCAAATACCCTGCTTTGTAAATTTAGCCCTAGCCCGCCCTGAATTAGCGAGAAACCAATGAGTAAAAACCGCATTCTGTATGGGGCCAATGAAGTTGATTTTATCCCTACTACGTGCCGGAAAGATGCTGTACAGATTTGATCTCGCCATGCTTTGGAGGGAGGACTCATCTCAGACAGATTTTACTGATCAAATTTTGTTAGTAGCTTTATGTGCTGTGTGTCGATAACAGGTTTTTTTAAACTGATTTTTTTCAATAAACATGTGACTTTTGCAGTGATCATTTAAATTGAAAGCTCTAAATTTACCCATCAGTTGTGTAGTTTTGTACGAGTGCGTCACTAACTAAATAACCAATGATGACAATGATGATGATGCACAGAATAATGGAAACGTCGCAGCGGACTCAAGATGTTACAAAAAACACACAAAATCACCAAGATAGATTAGAATTTGAGAAAAAGGCGGCAAGAACGGAGGAGTCCTCGCTATTCCGACAACGTAAACGAATATCGGACGATTCAAGGGATGCCGAAATGTGCGATAAGAACAGCGATAGTGATGACGACGACGAATTGAATGTGGACGTTGATGTGGAAAATGACGACACGCTTTGTCCCGTCGATTTGACAAGGAGGCACGAGAAGTTCACCTCCTTCGAAAATCTCATACCAACATCTAAAATGGATGATAGTGACTTTAAATCCCTTAAATCGTTAAAGGACGACGAAAAACTTTGTGTTAAACGATCTGAAAGTGTATGTAGTGACGTTAGTAGATCGGAAAGTCCGAGAGATCCGAGTCCGTCGGTCGTTCCTCATCAAAATAGACGATTAGCTTTCTCAGTTGAGAATATATTGGACCCTAACAAATTTACGGGCAAGCAATCCCTTTATAGTGACGGAGTTTGTTGTTGGAAACCTCATCAGGAGAATTTAGGCTCGTCGGAGTACGAAGAAAGTGACCAAGGTTAGAAATTAGCAATTAATTATTTCATTTTAATTTTATTTCTTCGTTACCGTACACCACTTCAACATGTCCGTGGTTCAAGTTTGCATAAATAATTCAAATTACCGCACCGTAAAAATTCGGTAGCTGTTTGTACAACAATAAAGGTTAGCTATAGCTTTCGCCTTCCCATTCTTCTACGGGAGCGACGCACGCCCTCAAAACTGCTACTGAAACTTCACCGTGTTTACTGTTTAGTTTATTAGCGGGAATGTTGTTTTTACATAGGTATAGGTATAGGTTTTCCTATAGTCCAACTGTACGCTTAATGTACCTCATAGGTACCTAATTACTTGTACCTACCTATATAAGATTCCAAAGAATTAACAAATATAACATTTAAAGGTGTGTGTCGGTTTATGAAGCCCCGTACAAACAAAATAGGTAGGTACAACCTATCTATATTTGCATATATAATCAACTTCACTTTCTCAATTTGCTCTGCGTCTTCGTACCATCTTGAAGCTGTACTTCGTACCAATGGATGGAATTTCAACCTTATAGGTAATTTTAATTATCATCTTAATTGTTAATAGACGGACGGATGCTACGAGTATACCTACGAACCAACCAAAGCAATTAATGAATTCTGCAGAAGACAGCCGGGCCCATTAAGTACATCTCAATTTGTTCACCTGCAAATTCGAACGGTATCTCTTGAAATCTTAAATAACAGAACTCCAAGGAGCTTTAGGTACACCAAATTTTCGATTTAAATGTGTACGTGTAGGTAGGTAGTTATTTTGACTCTATACAAGCTGATTCAAATTCGAGGGCCATCCATATGGGCATCTCGGGAACTGTAAGAGAGAGATGGGTAGTTTAAATTTGGCAAAGTTGCGTATTTTGATGCTTAACAAAATGCGGTTTTGAAACTTAAAAAATTCCGACTGCTTTCGGAGATATCCGGAAAACACCGAAATTTTGCTTTATTTTTTACTGAAGTTATTTAAAAAGATATTTAGAAATAAATATCACATTTTTTATTATGGCCACTCTTTTCTCTCTACAAGATGCTAGTTTCAAATTTTAAATCCGACGTTTCGTCTCCGGTTGACCATCACCAACTTCGTTTTTTCTTATGGAAGTAATTTTTAATTTTTGATAGAGAATTCAAACGAGACTTCAAAAATATAAACATCACAATTTTTTTAAATTATTAAAATATTTTCTTTTTTGCCTAGAAAACTTTGCTTTAGATAGTGTACGTATACGTAGTTTTGCGTTTTTACAAATTAATATTGCTATTTATGATTAAAAGATAGTGATTTTTACATTTTTGAAATCAGAAACCAATTCCTCATCAAATGACACAAAAAGTAAAAATTACTTCCATAAGAAAAAACAAAGTTGATGATGGTTGACTGGAGACGAAACGTCAAACTTAAAATTTAAAAGTAGCATCTTGTAGAGGGACAACAGTGGCCGTAATAATGTATCATTTATTTTGAAATACCTTTTTAAATAACTTCAGTAAAATAAAAACGATTTTGCAAAGTTTCGGCTTTTTCCGAATATCTCCGAAAGTAGTCGGAATTTTTTAAGTTCCAAAACTGCACTTTCTTAAGCATCAAAATACGCAACTTTACCAAATTTAAACTACCTACCTATCTCTTACAGTTCCCGAAATCCACATGGTGGCCCTCGAATTTGAATCACCCTGTATATGTAATATACCTATGCATAATACGGAAACGTGTGAGAATGAGTTTTTCAGACTAGACCTCTACACTTCCCACATACAAACTGATTCTTTTCCACATCATCTGCAATGCATATAAAATAGATTTGGTCTATTATAATCTATAAGTACCAATCATTTCATCTACACATCACATTCAAAGAACGTGAGTTCGGAGAAAAAAGAAGTTAGGTATATATATAGTAGCTTCAGTATACACGGTGGTACCTTGAAAATGAACCGAATTAAATTTTAGTAAATCACGCAATCGTGCTAGCGGAAATATAGTTTTGGTTCGGTACATACCTACGCATTGAAGCTTGAGAAAGATTCATACCTAGGTTTTTTATTAGCCTTTATTATATTTTTTTTCTGTTAGGTATATGTTCTCAGTGAAATATGAACATCAGAATTCAATGTTTATTACCTATTTCATTTTAATGGAAGTAACTAGGTAAGTGTAAAAGTGTAAGTAGATACCCTCCTTCACTTTCTAAGCAAAACGTCAGACGAAACGATTATGGAATGCATGTTGGTATATAAGCTTATCATAAAAATTATACGTTTAATCTGTTATCTGTACATATAACATTATAGGTATATAATAGGTATAAGTAGTTATGTACCTACTTATTAAAAAAATTAATTATAAAAATATGTATAAACAAATATAACAACAATAAAAATATTACAAACAAGAGAGTGAAATCCCAAATTAAGTAACAAAACTTAAATAGTAGGTATATTGAAAAAAAAGTATTACAATGCGACCCGTAACGCGACCAGATACCTATAGGAGTAGGTATTACAATAAGCCATTGTTACACGTGTTTTTCATACTATTTTTTCTATGTCGGTATTTAAATTTAATGAAAAAATTCCAAAATAATGTGCCTATTAGCAGTATCGCCTTTGGGAAATGCCGTTTCTTTTAAGTACACACGTTCCCGTGGGAACTTCGGAAAGTACTTTCGGATTACACCTTCAAAGAACCCTAACGTTCCAAATAGGAAACATTTAAGATGAAAACACATTTCCGTTGGCAAATTTTAAGTTGGCAGCGTAGTGTAACACTGACATTCATAATTCTGTCAACTTTTTTAATTAGCTTCCTAGCTTGAGGTATAGGTGGCTATTGCGAGCACAATTTTTTTTGAAATGTCAAGATTTCTTGAAATGTTGACGTTTTAGGTCATTTTAAGCAAGTTTTAATCGTTATTTATTATACAAGCCGATAAAGGGATATTTTAACCATTCACTTTCACGAGATCGTTAGATTCCCTTTATCGTCGTGTATAATCAAAACTTTATTTTATAGCAGAAGCCATATAAACCATTGTAAAGCTTCTGACAATTCTGAATTTAATTTAGAGACGTCAAAAATAGTATAAGGTTAGGTCCTGGCGTCGTGATCGTTTCTATAGAAACAGAATTGTCATATGTTCTGAACGTCATTTTATAACGTGCATTTGAAATAGGAATGACAGATGTCATTAGAATGCACAATCATTTGTTTCAATTTAACTACCCTTGCGGTTAAAGTTATCACTTTATCTATCCTTACGGTTAAAGAACGGCTTAGCCTACTCATTCAAACCTATTAAAATGTCATTTTAAGATATGCTATAAAATAAAGAATAAAAATTGTTCCCTCTATATGTACAACGCGATCAAGGAAAAGTGATCGGTCCGCTCTTATGAATTTAATAAGAATGATATGAAATAAACTTTAGTAACTACATATACAGTGCTATTCATCTAGAAGTAGACATAGGAATTTAATATGTCTACTTTTAAATGACAATGATCTTCTGAAAGACGCCTAATTTTATGCAACCGAAATAACATGCGCACGCATTTTGCATTGTCTTTGTAGAAGATTTTAATAAAAACGACAGTAAATAGTATGCTTTTAGGCTATGATAAAGAGATATTAAATTCGGCAGCTATTTCCCTTTTTTATGGGATTGTCTTCCACAAAAATTAATACATTATTTTATATCCTTCCTTGAAATCGAGGGTTGTTTACGGTGTGTTATTTTTTATCTAATTAATTAATATAACAGCATAAGCTTCATTTTGTTATAAGAAGTTATTATGGTTGCATAAAATTAGGCGTATTTCAGAAGAGTTTTAACTAGACATAAGTAATTCTTACGTCTACTTCTGAATGAATATCACCGTAGATGCTGCACCAATACCATATCTTAAAAACCCAACAAATGTTTAATACATCAACGTGAATCTGCAGTTCAATATAGTTTTAATTTTTAATAAAATGAGAGTTCACATGCACAATAAATACTATTTATTTTGTACTATTTAGCAGCTGCGCTTTTGAGAAATCCCGTTTTTTCCCTCATACCGTTCCCGTGGGAACTTTGGGAGGTTCCTTGGTAGTACACGTTGAAAGAAACCTACGTTCGAAATGTCAAGTCTCTTTTTGACTGAAAAATGTATAATCCCGTTTTTTCTCGTTCCCGTTGAAATGTCGGAAAGTGTTTTACTATAACTGAGAAACCATCGCGGGCATACGTCCAACCATTCTCCAAATGTTTCATCGCAATCGGATGAACGATGTAAATAGGCATGCGACAGAAATGGCCACCCGAATGACTACTCTCTCCCAAAACTAAACAAAATCCCATTTAAATTTGAAAGATACCACGCGATCAAACATCTAGACAGGGTCCCTTTACGTTAATTGTAAACAAAGTTATGGCCTGAAGTACTGTACGGAAGAATCGTAACATAAAACCCTGCATAAAACACTGAAATTGTGAAAAGTTTATTTAATAATGATCGTTATTATTAAGATTGTGAAAGCCCGGAAATTTAGTTAATCTATACAAAGCAAAGCCAAAAGGTGCCGTACACTCGCAAACGTAACGGCCAAGGGTAAAAAGATTAGATACGATGGAGAAAAACCTTGACGTTTGATTAATACAGCGCAAAAGTTAGTGAATAAAATAATTTGTGGAATTATCGAGTTTAAGCCATGGTTAACAAAGATACCTAAATTCTGAAAAAGGATGACGGGTACAGGATGTGACTCATCTTTGGTGCAAGAAAGTCCTTTTGTTAAGAGCAAGATGGAAAATTACATGGCCTTATAGGCAAATTCAACTAACGGTAAAATATGTGGAAATTAGCGAATGATGAGCAATCTTGCCCCCAAGACATGTAACTCGCCCCTAGTTTCGGGGTTTCAAGCCTACAGTTCAATGTCGAAGACAATCACGGAATTACGTGTCGTAAGTCATTTGATTGCAGTTTTTTTCGTGA